TGGCATCTCCAGATGTCCTGTCTTGGCGAGATGCCATGTCACGTGATCTTCGCCCCGCGATGATCATTACCTTCTGACGTGGACGTCCCTAGGCCTTCAGCCATCTCGTCATTTGTCAAGCAGAGAATCCTTCTTGTTACTTGTAACAGCGTAGGGGCTGCTCGCAACCCTGTGCACCGGCATAATATAGTTGAGTTATATAGTAGCTTCTAGCGCGTGTTATTATTGAAAAAATAGAGTAATGTTCGGCATCCTTGGGAAGGTTTCGTTTCCAGTCTTAAGCTAATAAAAATCAGGACTCGCTGTACGTAAGCTAGTGTTAGAAAGACAGGGTTGACTACCGGCTTGATTCTTCAGACAGGATGCCGCCTCCGACAAGATACCTCTCTGTTTCTAATGTTAGTAACGATACAACCCGGACCGATGCCAGAGAAGCATAGCCCAACTCCGTGTGATATCCTTCTATATTTAGAAGGACACGTGTCTTCTAGTGTACCAATATGCTGACTGCCTCGAGTCATGCTATCTTATTCCGAAACTTTCTCCCACATACTGCTAGGCCTTTCGTGGAAATACGTATCTTACGTACGGTAGAACCCTTTAAAGATGCATCCAACTCCCTCAAGATCGATTCGCGGTATCAACTCTTTCACATTGCGAAATATCATCCTTTGATTTCCAACGAAATTAAAAATGAAGCCTATCTTATTTATCACTGCTATTATCGCCGTCACTGCCGCTAGTGGTACACCTCAAAACGGAGAGGGGGATGAGGCTATTGGCCTAGTGGAGCGTCTATGTATAAAAAACAAGGGTGGTTCAGGGAGATCATGCGGTGAAGAGAGCGGTGGTAGACTTCATCCGGGTCACCCCCCTAACTAAGCTTCATAGGCGAAACCAAAAAAACGATAAGGTATGTTACTCGTGGTACAAAATTGCATTCATGAGCTTGTTTATCTAATGGTAATTATGGTTAGCAGCCTTTTGATTGGTACTGTCTAAAACACCGTCTTTTTATCAAGGGCTTGTTGACGATCAAAAGTGAATACTTAGTAAAACTTTTGTAATTTGAGAGATATTATCAACAATATAAGACTTGTTTTGGCTCCGGCCTTCTGAGACACTTCTGTGTGAAAAAAGTTCCGAGATCTATTAGAACTAGCAAAACAGCAACCGCGCGCACCCATCCTCAGCTCCACCCATCGGCACTGTCACGCGTGTCCTTATTGCAACCATGGTTTGTGATGCTGCTGCCTCGTCGCAACCGTAGTTCGCTGTTCTGCTGCCTTCGTCGCGACCGCATTTTGGCTGTCGTACCCAATGGGCATATGCCCGTTGAGAGGTTTTTGGTAGTATTACCAACACATTACACTTTGACTGCAAAGTCATATTTTTGATACCCGATTGCGGCAGGTTGGGGTGTGTCCTGCCATTCTTTTCTGAGATAATTGATCTGATACGCTACATAGCAAACAGATAGAAAAAAAGTCAAGTAATAAGACTTGTTAGATGTGTCGCCCGCGCTACCCTACCACCATGTGCATGTGCAGCCTAACCAAAATTACGTCATAAATGAGGTTGTACGTGTTACAAGTAACACAAATGATTGCGTCCCTGCGTAGCCCATATTGTTTTAGCCGTCGTTGCCACAATATGCACTTCCGGAAGTACGAGCCCATAGTGTTCAGTTTTTTATGTGGGATGCCGAGCCCTTCATTCTTCAAGGGCAATTGGTGTTGCGAAATCTCTATAGTGATTTAAAGTCCTTTAATCTTTAGATTAGATACTATGTTGTGGTCTAAGATACGCCTTCTATCCCATTCGATACGAAACTCATCATCATCATCATCATCATCAGGACAATAGTACGCGTATAAAGAACTCTCCTTATAAATTCCGAAAAGATCAAGGTATTCATCTATATATTCTTTCCCATCGCTGTCGTCAATGTCATGGAAACTGTCTCCCTGAAAAGGCGGAAATGTGTATTTAGGTGGACGTCGACGTGTATGTGAACTGAAATTTAGACTCGGATGTCGAGTTCTTTTGATTTGCCTCCTTTTTCGCAGCAGCATATACTCTGCGATCGTCAGGATTACCATCCAGCTTGCCACCTTCCATTGAACCGGTTCTGGTGATGCAGCAAAGCCGGGCCGAGAGAACAGCCGTGGCCAGAATATACTCGCAAACATCATAGCCTCGCAACGTTGCCGAATAGGGATCTCACAGCTGAAAATGGACAAAGAACCATCCTATTTGGATTGAAGAGCTCTGAGATGCTCATCGACCTCATCGAGCTGTCTTTCCATCGTTGTGCGATTATGTATAGCTCCCCCAAGCCTGACATACATTACAGGTGTCCACCCAATATTTGAAATTGTCCGTCACGCTAGATATCGTTCTGGAAGCTGTGTATTGCCACAGAGAATGCATCATCGATGAATCGTTCTCTTAATTTATCGTCATGAAAGGATCTTCCTAAGTGGTAATTCGAGTAAAGTAACAAAACTTTCGTCCGAGGTTAAAGTTGTGCCCTCCACTTCTCCAGAAGGGTGAACCTAAGTGCTATTGAGGCCTTTACACTCAATGAAGAACAAAGCTGATATGATCTCAGTAGTACCGAAAAACTGCAAGTCATTCCAGTGGCTATTAGGGCCACAGAAGAGCCTCAAGAGCCAGTCAGGAACGTGATTCATCCACGGATAAAGTACATCAATTGAGCCTTCGCAATTCAAATATAGCCTGGGAGAACAAGCTCTCTTGAAAAGGTCTTTTCTCAGGCTTGAAGGATCGAGGAAACACAAAAGGTAAAGGAATTTTGCTGCTCCCGGGTATTCTTTGGCGATAGCGTTGATCGAGAGCTTCCAAGTCGCGAGGACAGAAGCGGAATAGTCATTGGCAATTGGATGCTTTCTCCCAAGAGCACGTTCAACTAACTCGTGATTTTGAGAATATTACAGCTCCAAGTAAGTGTCTATTCGTCCTCGAAGATTGTGCTTGATATATCCACATATGTTAAGTTTGCAAGTGCAGAAAGACTGGTTCCAGGACTCTATAGACTTACGTGCCAGCGAGATCAATCGCCAAAGGAATACAATCCAGTGTCTCCACCACAAGTCTTGCGTGTTCAAGCTGCTCTCTCTGGACCAAGTCTGCGGATGTGCCGAAAACATGGTGGATCAAAAGCTGCTGAGCGCTATCCAGGGGAAGACCTTTCAGTTTTATTGCCTGGCCACCAAGTCTCTCTGCCTCTTGACGTCTGGAAGAAATAATTATGGCTCCACCAGAAGCAGAAGGAAAATACTTTGGCAATTGGTCAATCATGTCGAGGTCATCAGCACGATCTATCAGAATGAGCCATTTCTGATTCCTTCTCCTCAACTCCTTCTGGATTGAATCGACGTTCCTTTGAAGCTTTGGTATGAATCGAGTGATGGTGTTTATAGTCTCGGAGTTTGATGCCCAAGTACGAGGTAGGACAAGTCCGAGCTGCTCCGCAGCACGGGCGAACGTGTCATCCAAAGAGTCCAGTGACTGTGCATCAATCCAAAGGACAACCCCATATGTGTTTCGATACGTCCAAGTGTACTGCAACATTAGTTGTGTTTTTCCGGAGCCGCCAAATCCTACGATAGATATGATTTTCGGCCTGAGCGAGCTTTAAAATGCGGATTCAAGAGCATTCTCGATCATCAACATTTCTCCTCTGGGTGCGAAAAAATTGATCGGATGCTTTCGAATAAGTTCAAGTTGATGAAAACCAAAATCTGCGCTGGAGGCTGGTCTACGTCGCGTTACGGGAGCCAGACTTTGATCATCGTGCAGAGGAGCCTGAGGGATGTCGAGGCTAACTCGGTGTCAGCCGGCTTTTGCACAGGCTGTTAGAACCGCACAATTGAAAGCCTACCTCATATTCTCTTCTAAAAGGCTTCTTTTGCATCTCTGCAGCATATCTTCCTGAGCCGTTGTGCCGAGGTATGTGAATGTATTTGCCATCATCTTATCCTCTTTTTCCTACTCATCCAAGCCCACTCCCTGGAGACCATTGGTAGGATTGAAATGGAAGTATTTATGGCGATATATACCCTGTTGATGGGAATACTGCGCTTCAAAAGACTCTGCCGTTTTCTTCGTATTCATTGCTATCTTAGAGTATGCTTCTGCAACCGAAACTAATCCACGGCCAAGTTTCATGGATGACGATACACCTGTTCCTAAGCTCACAATTGTAGATATGTCTTTAGTGGGGAATTCTTTCCGGATCTCGTTGATGAGCTCAAATATCGGATTGTTCGCACCAAACCCACTATCGCGGAAATCCATCCCATTCGGAAACTTAATTGGCGCGAAGAAAGTTGGGGCAGCAGAGGTAGCTCTGGCAGCCTCCCAGATTGTAAAGTCAAATGGTTCCTCAGTCGTGGATGGATAGCTTCGTAAGCGCTGTATACTGCCGTTGACCATTGTGGCACGTACGAAGCTGGAGACGGAGAATAAGTCAGCATCATCCTATGATCTTGTTTGATTGCATCCTGCTCACATGGGACATTTTGGTTTGTCTTGGTACAACTTCACACTTCCACCGTCCATATCCGAGCCCGAATGTGCTGAGATAATCTCCTTAATGACTTTCTCCAAAACATTATAGTCAAAAGTCTCTGATCCCAGCACTTTGTGGACAAATGTGCCTCCAACATATGTCTGTTTCCTTGGAGTGAATACGCGTCTCGAGAGCCGTTTTTATGCGTCTATTGCTGCTTCCACATACATTTCCTACATACATAAAATGTCGTCAGAAATGTGATTGAAATGTTCCAGGTTCCACGTACGAGCCTCCCGAGCATGTTAGCAATAAGACCACCTGTGCTTGTGCCTACGATCATATCGAAAACATCGCAAGGCTTCGGCGGACACTGAGGGCTGATCAAGTACATGAGCCTCCTAAGCATAAGAAGGACAATGAGGCCGCGCACCCCACCTCCATCTGTAAAGTGTTGTCAGCAAGGCTGCAAAGACATTAGCGACATGGAGGGTGCGTTTCTAGGGCGAGAAGCCTTAGCGGTGCTATCATGCACAAAATTTTCCGTGGCTACGCTGTGCAAGAAACGTCACAGCATTAGACTTCTAGATATCGAATAGCTATTTCAAAGCAAGGCTAGGAGAAAATGTTGTTGGAGAGGAAATGATATTAGGTAGCAGTAGTTCAATCAGCTACCAATCTATCATATGTAGATAGCGTTAAGCTCTAGATACCGCTTATGCAGTATGCTGTACCTTTTTGGGCTGCGTGGCGCAGTACGTAGAGCTGAGCTGTCGCCTCACAGCAATCGCTCATAGGCTGTAGTCATGGTATTACCCGCTCTCAAATGACACATGCATGAGGCCTCTCCAACAACTCAGCTGTCCGTTAAATAGCCCTCCTTTCACCATGGATGCTCCATAACCTGACCAATCGTTGCCCTAGCCCTTGGATCAATTTTCGTCATTCCAGATATCATCTTCTGTGCCCCAGAGCCGAATACATGCCCCCATGCCTCGAAGCTCATGTCTGGGTAGTCCTGCACTACCAAATCAGTCTCTTTAGACAATATTGTAAGAGCCTTTGTCCATTTCTTGTTATTGATGACGTTGAGCAGGCCCTGGTTCGCTGGTCCAAAATACGAGAAATGTCGCGTCAATACTGCGTGCTGAGGGCTTACACCGTGCTTGGCAAGCTCCGGATAATCGTTGATAAGTATCGGTTCTCTACCTCCGAGGGTATATATGCACTGCGTGAATAATTAGCCCGAGTTTTTTCAATGATAGCCACAAAAATGGCGGGAGGCAACTTATAACAAGTCCGAATGAGTAAACGTCTGATGCCTTAGATAAACCTCTCCCAGTTTGCCCTTCTGGACTGCGCCACATGATGTTTCCTACTGCACGAGTGTTGTAAAGTAGAGCTCCTGTATCGAACTTAAAAGCGAGGTTGAAGTCACCTAAAGCGACGTCGGTGATTGTCCTAGTACCATTCTCGTCGCAATTTCAGTTGACTAATACATTATCGGGCTTGATGTCTGCGCAGATTGATTGTCAGTTGAGATATTGTGGTGGTAGGTTGATCTGAACTAGTGATCATACCGCGATGGATCCAGTCCTTGCTATGCAGTTCTTGTATGGCTGCTCCTGTCTCCTGCAGAATTCTCTTCTGTGCTGCACGCGAGACTTCTGGATCGTCTTGCAGCAGTCCGAGCAGAGTATGTTGATAGAAGGGATAAATTAGGAAGTTCTCTTCCTCGCTGGAATCAACATGCATGCGAAGCCGACGGGACTCGGGGAAATCGGCTGCAAGGCGTAATGATAGGTTGTAGAATGGTTTGGCTACTCACATGAAAACGAAAGACTGACCATGAGATCTAAAACGACTTCTGTCAAAATAAATTTTATATGTGAGATTTTGTGTGACGAACTCGGCTTTGAAGACGCTTAGTCGAGGATCTCTGCGCTCCGCGAGCACCTCGCGCCGAATGTATATCCGACCTGATTTACCCACGATGGTGGATGTCATTCTGATACCTATATGTGGAGTTGGGGTTGTGCGACAGGCCAAACGATTGAGAAGCATCGTTGGAGAACTTTGCAGTCGGAATATATGGGGAAAAGGTTGTCTTGATAGTGAGTGTTCATTTGTAATGACTGTGTAATGGTGTGTGTTACCTAATTTGGTCAGCCGGATAGTAGCCCACTTGTCATAGCTGCCTAAGCGCTCACTTCATTTCCTTCTGGCCAATCCGCGATGGTTTGATTCACTTTTCCTGCTTACTCGTTTCTATAAAGAACCACCACTAATCATGAGACTGTCTACAATCTTGATATATTATGTGCTTGGTCGCTCAGTGGAGCTTGTGTTACTGATTGCTGACGTCGCGTGGTCAAGAAGATCATGGTGCAGCATCTGAAGTCATAGCCTTTCGCTCTCAATCATTCAGCTTGAGTGTAAGCAGCTTGTGGGCGCTTTGAGGGTCATAACGGCGCTTGAAGATTCACTTTCACTGCTACGAACCCGTGCTATTGTTGATTGCAAAGCCCGAGGTCGGCCTGATTGTTTGTTCATTCATGGTGGACCTACCGACTAGACTAGATCTCCTGCTCTCTCTCTCTCTCTGTATACTAATATACCCTTCGTGTCTTCCGATACTTGCACCATATACAGAAATCCTCCAAGATGACGGTCAATAGAGTTACCTCTACCACCTTCTTCGAGCAGGTGATGAACGGCGGTCGTGCGATTGATGTCAAGTTCGCACTCAGCACCGATACTTATAACCGAGTACTGATTTCATCGAGCGTCATGGGCCCATTCGCAAAGGCCATAGAGAAGGCCAATGTACCCGCTAGTGCTGTGGCTGTAGTCTTAACGTAAAAACTACAGAGCATGTCTGTAATCAGTTCGAGTACTCACCTAAGAGCGGGAACATCGAGCACTCCAGCGAGAGTGATGCTGAGCCTCATTTCGCCACCGAGTGGCAAGATGTGAACGGAAAACACATCGAAACCAATCATATATACAGTACTAAATATACAGGTATCCTGAATGACCAGTAACGATCATTTGTGGCTAGAGGGATGTGAGTTGAAGGTGCTACATGGGTTGGGTGCTAGTACTTTGCCGGTGCCAAATAACTAGCAAGGAAGTGCAATTTAAGTTGACCAAAACAAGAGAAAATGATGAAATCTATCTATCCTTGTATCCTCATTACTTCTAGTCCTGTCCTCCCTAGATTCATGTCTTGGCGGGAGGTTTAGGAGGGCGTTAGTCTCCCTTTAGGCAGTAGCCTCCCAGAGGCTATGCCTTTGCAGAATGCTGAATTACGTGATCTCGCCTCGCGATAATAACTCTTCCCGTCAGTACCCTACGTGGTTTCTAAACATCTATCGTTATACCCGGGTGAGAGATCCTTCCTGTTGTTGCTTCTAACAGAGGGGACGGAATCGTGAATCCTTTTACAGGTAAGTGAATGCGAACTCCTATTTATCGACCTCATCATGAAAGTGCAAGATTGAACAGAAAGTATAATAGAATTGTACTCCAGTTTTCTATATCATGTGTACTATTTTCGTGAATTTCAAATATCATATCTACAGTTCTAGGGTGTAGAAGCTGAGCAAACCGTACATATGTATAGGTACCACAGTAAAGGACAAATCGATCTACATATTTAGTAGGTACAAAAGGAAGAGTAACGCATATTTACTAGAGCTGAATTGATCTTGTTAGCTGTGGGATATGCCAGTGACGGTTTGATGGTTGTTCCCACTACGTTGGTGTTGAACGCGACTGATCGGCGTCTCGGTGCGGCGACGCCAAGAGTCGGAGCGGAGCTAAGTAATCGCGGGAGCTCTCACCTTCGTAATCCATAGCTGCCTCACAAACAGAGCCTCATCAACGCTCCACTATCTTCAATCTGTCACCTGCGGGTTTTACTTACGACTGCCGGGATATAGCACCGCTTGTCTTAGTTGACTAGTTTTCACATACAATCACTTACAATAGACCGCCACCATGTCCACACTTGAGGATCTCGATGATCTTGAGCGCCATGAGAAGGAAGAGAGAAAGGACGATGACAAGAAAGACGGCGGCAAGGATGGAAAGAAGGCTGACGGCGATGCGGACATGAAGGATGCAGAGCCAGAGGAGGAGCAGCTCGACGAGGAGATCCTGAACTCAAGCACACGAGACATCATTGCGCGGAGGCGGTTACTGGAGAACGACATGCGCATCATGAAGAGCGAGTTCCAGCGGCTCACACATGAGAAAGCATCGATGAATGAGAAGATCAAGGACAACCTAGACAAGATTGAGAACAACAGGTACGCCATCTCGATGCCGGCGATCGGCCCCGCAGCGTGTTTACCAACCGCCATCTTCGGGGCAATATGTTGACATTCTACAGGCAACTACCCTATCTTGTCGGAAACGTCGTCGAAATCCTCGATCTCGATGTCACAGCGGAGGCCGCTGAGGAAGGTGCAAACATCGACCTAGACGCCACCCGCGTTGGCAAGTCGGCCGTCATTAAGACTTCTACGCGACAGACAATATTCCTGCCCCTCATCGGCCTTGTCGACCATGAGAAGCTCAAACCCGGAGATTTGATTGGTGTGAACAAGGACTCTTACCTTGTCCTAGACACACTACCGGCCGAGTACGACAGCCGAGTCAAGGCTATGGAAGTCGACGAGAAGCCAACGGAAAAGTACACTGATGTCGGAGGCTTGGACAAGCAGATTGAGGAGCTCGTAGAGGCGGTAGTCTGGCCAATGAAGGAGGCGGAGCGATTCAAGAAGATTGGCATCAAGGCTCCCAAGGGTAAGCATAATGCTTGAGTACCCAAGGACAATGGTTAACAAGGCACAGGCGCGTTGATGTACGGCCCTCCGGGTACTGGAAAGACGCTTCTTGCACGAGCGTGCGCTGCGCAAACTGACGCTACTTTCCTCAAGCTTGCCGGTCCACAACTCGTACAAATGTTTATAGGTGATGGCGCTAAGCTGGTCCGCGACTGCTTCGCTTTAGCGAAAGAAAAGGCGCCCTCAATTATTTTCATTGATGAGTTGGACGCCGTCGGCACAAAGCGTTTCGATTCCGAAAAGTCCGGAGACAGAGAAGTGCAACGAACCATGTTGGAGCTTCTCAACCAGCTAGATGGTTTTGCCTCGGATGACCGCGTAAAGGTCTTGGCCGCCACCAACCGAGTCGATGTCTTGGATCCCGCCCTGCTCCGTTCTGGCCGTCTGGACAGAAAGATCGAGTTCCCGCTGCCAAACGAGGAGGCTCGTGCGCAGATCATGCGCATTCACTCAAGGAAAATGACCGTCGACGATGGTGTCAACTGGCAGGAGTTGGCACGCAGTACCGATGAGTTTGGTGGAGCTCAGCTAAAGGCTGTATGTGTTGAAGCTGGTATGATTGCTCTCCGAACAGGTCACCAGAAGATCAGTCACGAACACTATGTGGATGCTATTGCTGAAGTGCAGGCGAAGAAGAAGGACACGGTCAACTTCTACGCATAAGGTGCGGTCAGATGGTGGTGGCTTTGCTGCTTGCAGGCATGTGTTCTTGTACCCAGCTTGTAATAATACTTAGACCTTCATCATAGTACCACTGCCGAAATGACGAACATGAATGAACAAAGGGTATATCTTTCACTATACACTATGCTTACTAAGTGAAGGTGAGACACAGTAGCATGAGGGAGGGGCATCCATTGCACTGTGTGTTCATTTCCAAGACAATACCGATCAAGAGTCTAGGGTGGCCATATCTATGAATGCGGCGCATGTCACATGGCCAAGCATAGCAGTAACGAAGACGCCTCCACTTCCATCACTTGCCCCCCAACCCCAAACAGTTCGCTGTGGACTACAGATGCCCCTCTCGGCACTTGATTCTCGAGCTTCAACGGCACAGAAGGTGACCCCGGCAAGAAAACGGGTAGGCGACGAATTGCAGGCCTAGTCATCACAACTTGTGTTGTGCCGCGCTGCGCTACGCTACCTGTAAGTCCATTTTCGTGTTGCAACAGCGCTTTGCAGCCATGTAGTACCGTTATATTGACTATATACACGTTTCTCTGTCAGCCCTCTTTTCCGCCGTCTAATCTGAATGTACAGTCTCCATGCTTCTCTCTGGTCGGTGGCACTCTTTGTATGTGATGAGCCGATCAGCACTTTGCTGACCATTGCGCAGAGTCTGCAAATGCCGATATGGTCCGGATCGTCAAGGGCTAGATGATACAAAGTGACTTGCAGAAAGGGAAACAGGGCCGAGGGTATTGCGCCTCGCTCATGTGTTCAAGGACTGGCCACGTTCCTGCATTTCCATCAGTGATTCTGGCACGCCCTTCCTCGCCCCCTCTGATTGGCTCACGTCTCAACAGCGGACCTCAACCACCCAACCTCAACACCAGGCACGCTACACCCACGCTACACCCACGCGCAATGATAGCTCGACTTGATAGGCCCGTCATTCCATCGCCTCCCCATGGCTTCCCTGAAGATCTGGAGAAATACTCGGTCCCCCTAAGACCCTGCATAGCCGCCTCTTGCGGTTGATTAGGTTGGGACACTTCTCGCGGTTCACTATCACACCCGACGTCAGTGCAAGGTTGCCTCGTACCGTCTTAGAACCTTCGAAGCATGTGGCGGGCACCATTGGCTGAAAATCCTCAAAGACAGGGAGGAAGTTGCCTTACACAATAGGTGGCTTTGCCCGCAATCATGTGGGGGTGCATTGTGACGAACCGAAGTCGGAATGATGCTTCGGAATGCTTCTCATATAACCCCTCCATGGCGGGGTTTCTTTTTGGTTGACCGCATACTCTCTCCTCTTCTGTGGTTTCTGATCCTCTGCTCTGTTGCAGCGTCGCAACTATGCTGGATTTCTCAGCCTTCGTTCCGCGTGACCCCTTCCATCAGCTCACGGTCACCCTCTGTATCATTGGTCTCTTCCTTGCCGCCGTATTTGCCATTGCTCTCAGACCGAAGAGCAAAGGACAAGAACCTAGCACTGTCGAGGCATACCTGAAGTTCATCTATGGCTGCTTCTTGAAGCCGCACACTGGTGATGGGTCTGGAAGCCAGCAAGACGCTCTTGTACGTCGAATACATAAATACGCTTACCGTGACTAACAGAAGGAACAGGAGAGCTTCTACAAAGCACAGGCTGAAGTCTACGATGCTACCCGCACTAGACTCCTTTGCGGTCGCGAGGATATGTTGGGACTGGTCGCTGCGCAACTGAAACACCGCGCTGAAGCTGGTCTGATATCACAACGCCCTGTTTGGGTTGATGTAGGTCGATACGTAAACTAGAGTCGATTCTGATACTAATAGTGGCAGATTGGTGGAGGAACTGGTTACAAGTAAGCGTTGATGTGCCAGTGTCACAGTGTGATACTGACAAACTTCTAGTGTCGAGCAAATGAACGCTTTCGTCCCAGTGACGAGCTTCTTCCGTTCAGTTTGTAAGCTGTCTGAATCTCATACAGGAAGTATTACTAACTATTGTAGATGTCGTCGATCTTTCGCCTAGTCTCTGCGAAATGGCACGCAAGCGCTTCGCCCGCCTTGGGTGGACAAACGTCAAAGTCATCTGCCAGGACGCGCGTGCTTTCCGTCTGCATGAACACGAGCCACAAGCTTATGAAAACAAAGAGAAGGTCTCTCAAGGTCAAACTGTTCGCGACCTTGATGAGAACGCTGATGCTGGAGGAGCTGAGCTCGTCACCATGAGCTACTCTCTAAGCATGATACCCGAGTTCTATCCCGTCATTGACTCCGTGGGCAGCCTTCTAAGCCCTAATGGCGTTTTTGGTGTCGTTGACTTCTACGTCCAAGACCAAGTGGACTTTAGGGGCAGGAACTATATCGGTGGTGCCATCGACCGTCATTGCATGTGGCTCTCGCGAGTATTCTGGAGAGAATGGTTCGCTATCGACAGAATTTCACTAGGCCCTGCACGAAGAGTAAGTCGCGTTCTTCAAAGTCTACGATGATTTCTAACCGGTGTCAGGATTATTTGGAGTTCAAACATGGCACGATCCTAAGCATGAACGCCAGAAACAACTTCTTCAACACTGGTATCAAGCTACCTTACTACATCTGGATCGGATGTTCAAAGGACCATGGTGCATCCACACAAAAACTCGCCAAGATTGATGCTGCTGCTACAGAATCTCCATACCTCAATGCGCTTGACCTTCAAACCGGAGCTGCACCAAGCGATGCAGAAGTTCACTCCAAAGCGTACGAATGCGCAGTCGTTAATCTACAATCTAGTTTGCCTCTCCCATCAGCATGGTATCAAAACCACCACTGGCGCATTCACTACGACTCTTCTCTTCCCAAGCACACTCGTTTCAACAACTCGTACATCTACGCGTTCACCTGGGAAGATGATGTGGCTGATATGCGACTTCTTAAGCCAACTTCGAACGATGTCGTCCTCGCAATTGGATCTGCTGGTGACAACATTCTTGCTTTCTGTCTAGAGAACTGCCGTCGCGTCCATGCTGTGGACCTCAACCCGTCGCAGAATCATCTACTCGAGCTCAAAGTCGCTGCCTTCACTGCACTCGGCTACCAAGATGTCTGGAAACTCTTTGGTGAAGGCAAGCACCCCGACTTCCATAACCTACTCATCCAGAAGCTCAGCCCGCACCTCTCCTCAGACGCGTTCCAATTCTGGGTCCAAAATGGCCCTTCCATCTTCTCTTCTTCGTCTTCCAAGGGCCTCTACTACTCTGGCGGCTCCGGAAATGCCATTGCAATCGCCGGTTGGCTCTTCCGTCTCCTAGGAATGACTGCCGACGTCAAAGCTCTCTGTGCGGCGCAAACTCTCAACGAGCAGCGTGAAATCTGGCAACGCAGCATCAAGACCGTGCTCCACTCCAAGATCCTCACCTATGCCATCCTCGGTAACGAGAAATGGTTGTGGAAAGCACTCGGTGTCCCCCCTGCCCAACGCGACGTCATTGAAGTCGACTTCAAGAAGACACAAGACTACGACGAGGCCAAAGCCACAAAACCCAAAGATGCCGCTGCAGAATACATGGCCTTCCACGAGGAACCTTCAGACGAGGAACTCAAGTCTTCAAGCGGTAATGCAATCTACGAATACGTCCTCAACACCTTTGAACCCGTAGTCAACACCACTCTCCTCAGCACCTCAAACCACTACTACCTGCTCACTCTGCTCGGTCACTACACCCCTACCTCGCATCCCACCTACCTGTCCCCCAAGTCGCACGTCAAGCTCTCCAAGCCCGGTGCCTTCAACGGTCTACGCATCCACACCGACGAAATCTCAGAAGTGATTTCGCGCATGCGACCTGGCACTCTGACCATCGTCGTCGTAATGGACAGCATGGACTGGTTCCCACCCAACGGTACTCAAGCACTACGTCAGATCCGCGCGCTAAATCGGGCACTCAAAGTCAAGGGCCGCGTTATGCTGCGTAGTGCGGGCCTGGAGCCATGGTACATCAAGGTCTTTGCCGAGTGCGGGTTTACAGTTAAGAGGGTAGCGGTCAGGTTACCGGGCACGTGTATTGATCGGTATGTTTCCCTTTTCCTACTCTTACTTCCCATGTCCCATCGTGTGCACGTTTACTAACATGATGGCTGCAGGGTAAACATGTACGCATCCACCTGGATTTGCACAAAGGAAGTTGATCTTGTCAAGGAGAATGGCATCAAGGCAGGTGCGGGGTTGAGGAAGGCGTCGTTGGCTGAGTTGGAGCTTGAGGCCCCTGCTATGCGTGTTGAGTAGGACTGGTCTTTTTCACTAGCAGTTGGCGGTTTAGTCTATGCTTTTGTTGCGTATGAGTAGCATGTTGGGCGGTTGTCTGATGCCGTTGCATGGGTTCTTGGATTTTTTTTGTCGTTTTGTGTTAGATACCTGACCTAGAATGCATAACAGTATCTTTACATCTATTGAATGTAAAAAACTGAGATTGGCATCAGTAGTGTACGGTAAAGTGGCGGTGGTCTGCAACTCGTGTTCGTTGCCTCGCCATTGCTACTCTTATTTGGTACCGCCCATGTCGTCTCAACTACTTCTATTCAGGGTGTTTGTACAACAAATTCCCAGCACAATCCACGAGCTAGCAAGTCATCTTTCAATATTGGAACGCAAAGACATCAGATACCCTGAATTAATCGTGTTTATGACATTTACAGCTGCATCGCGCCGTCTACCCGACTACGCATACAGCATCGTATATCGTCCAACCATTATCGTATCAGCCAACACACCACACTACTAATCCCAAAACAATTATCGTCATTGCCAAAACAAGGCTTCCCAAGTCTATCGCGCCTCAAAAGGAAAAGCGCCGGTATCCTAGATGCAAGCAGCACAAGGGCGAAACCCCTTCCCAAAAGTTGTACAATCTGATGAAATCAAAGGTGGACGGGTGCAGATTGGTGGGGGCTGGCTTAGCTGGAAGCACCCGAGTAACGCGCCTTTCCGACGGTGAAGGGGACGTAGCGGTATTTGATCATGTGCTGGATTTGTCGTCGCACTGCATTGGTTAGTTGATGTGGTGTAGTAGCTGGTAGGTAGAACCTACTGGTCAGGCCAAAGAGAATCAGCCAGTAGACGACCAAGACAGGCCAGAAGACGGGCAGGTTGAAGATCTCGAACCAGCTGCAGAAGAAGCCGATGGAAATAGCCTTTGTGGTCGAGTACCAGAACTTGAATTCGGGCAGCCTGCGGACGAATGGGCGGAATTCTTGGTCCTCTTTTGTGGGAAGGCCAGAGGCGTTGCCGTCTTCCATGCCTTCATCTTGTTCGAGCGCTGGATCGAATTTAGGGGAAAGGAAGGCGAGGAAGAGATTCAGGAGGTAGATGCCAAGAGAGTAGGCAACTGTAATTGTGGTCAGTAATTTGTATACTATAACAGGTGCATCACTACATAGAACTAGTCGGGACTGTGATATTTTGGAAGTGAAAGGGACAGAATACATACCGATGTACCATCCCTGAGCGAGGAATATGCGCAGACCAAAGAGCAGGAAGAGGACTCCGGTTCCTCCCCATCGGTATGTGGTGTATGGCGTTGACTTGTCTAGGTATGCTTGGAACATCTGCGCAGCGCATTAACATATATGCCATATTCCAAAAGTCCGCTCAGCTTGCATCTCCATCGCCTCATACATCTTATCGCGCGTCGGGAATTAAATGCGCGATGCCCCCCGGGGAAATAACCTACCCGTCCATACTTTGTGGTTTGCGCAGTTACCGCGGAGAAGGGGGTATCAGGCTCCGGGGCGTCCATGGCTGCGTCGCTTGGTTCTCGGTTTTGTGCGATGAAGACTGTATCCTAGAGATGGCGAAACTGGCGATGGTGTGGTCGGAATGGCGCGTCTTTAGTAGGGGCAAGTTGTTGAGTCGTGTCAAAATCATGAGCCTGCGGAACAGGGCTGTGGCTGAGGACGGCACACAGTTGCGGATGGCGCTAGGCCCAGAATAATCTAGTGGCGCCATTGGCAGCTTCCCAGCAATTCCAGGCTTTGGCGGGCGCTTTACCGAGGTGGCCGATGCTACCCACTTGGAAGGGAAGCTGTGTACATTCTACATTTGCATGTGCTCTCTCGTCTTTACAATTGCTCTCATTGATCCAACTGCAATATCCAAGAGCTGGTCTCAAGAGTGAACGTCCAATTGGCGATAACCAATATGCAAGCATTCCGCTCAGCACCAAGGGTAGCCTCCCAGTTCCGGTCCACCGGCCTACCTAGGTTTGTGAGGGGATTCACTACCGACAAGTCGTATGAACATTTGCTTGTTTCGGTACCAAAAGAGGGTGTTGGTTTGAGTAAGTACGGAAGATGAATTTCCAATACTTCGTTCAAATATATAACTCTTGTATCGCACGGTAACAGTAACGCTCCAAGCATGTCTGCTGACATCATATAGTCCAGCTGAACCGGCCAAAGGCCCTCAATGCTCTCTGCACCCCTCTGATCCTCGAGCTTAACCAGGCCCTGCGTGACTTTCAGAATGCAAAGTCAATTGGTGCCATCGTTCTCACCGGTTCAGAGAAGGCTTTTGCGGCAGGCGCCGACATCAAGGAGATGAAAGACCTTACTTTCAGCGACGCGTATGGCAATGACTTTATAGAGTCTTGGTCGGATCTTGTCACATTCCTCAAGAAGCCTCTCATCACGGCTGTCAACGGTCACGCACTAGGAGGAGGCTGCGAGCTCGCCATGATGGGAGACATCATGTATGCAGGACCCAAGGCAAACTTTGGACAGCCAGAGATCAAGCTAGGCGTCATTCCCGGTGCTGGTGGATCGCAGCGTCTGACAAAGGCAATTGGCAAGTCAAGAGCCATGGAAGTTATCCTTACAGGTGACAACGTCACTGCGCAGCAAGCAAGTGAATGGGGACTTGTCGCAAAGGTGTTCGAGACACCAGAGGCGTGCGTCGACGGCGCCATTGCAACAGCGGCCAAGATTGCATCTTACAGTCAAATCGCTGTTAAGGCGGCGAAGGAGGTGGTGAACAAGAGCCAGGATCTCGGCATCCGGGAAGGTGTCGAATACGAGAGGAGGGTGTTCCATGGTTTGTTTGGAAGCCAGGACCAGAAAATCGGTATGGCTGCTTTTGCGGCTAAGGAGAAGGCCACTTGGACAAACAAATGAGCGACAAAACGGAGAAGATGTGCATGCAGTCGCTAGACAAAGTCATGAGTCTGCTCTTCAGCTATTCTTAATTAAAATGGCAAAGCTTAACAAGGCACTTACAGAGCATGGCAATTGCTAGAAATGCATTCTGTCTCAATTCAGTTAGACGCGCCTCGGCACTATATGTAGTTGAGATAAGCCACCTAGCTTATCACACGTGACAGCCCGCGCGCGTGCATGGGCGTGTGACATGACGCGATCACTGTGGGGAACACTGCGCCATCTGATATGCTACTGCTTCCCGTTCCCTCCGCTTTCTATCCATCCCATCTTGCACCATGGAAGCTACTCCACCGTGGCTACGAGATGCTCTCCGCTTCGCGTTGACAGCAACCCCGTCAACCCCAGCACCGTGGTTCCAGCATGAATACGACAGCTTCAGAGCCGCTGGCGGCGACCCCCTTGTAGATCCTGATGACCCTGGAAAAGACCCGCGCTTCAGGAAACTAGTCGTGGCTATCCTGTTTAGTCGGAGGCTTCTGAATACCTACAATCTGGTCCTAGTAGCCGTTTTGTTGGTCTTTTCGATATGGCACTGGAGCGAAAAGTTCATGTTGCACCAGCGGAGACGGGAAGCTGCCACCCAGACACGCAATAACGAAACAAACAGCGCAGAGGATGCAAAAGCCTGGAGCAGCTCAAGCAGCACTATAGAAGGCAGCGCAACACCACCGGATAGCACCGTTGTCAAGACATCCAACGGTGCCGACGAATCCAGTCCCTTGCTTCCTTCACGACGGCCGCAGCCCAAGCGCGTCGGTGTATGGCGACCATTCTACGTACTCAAGGCCGCTCTCCAATACCAACCGCCTCGCATACCCATCGTCAATAAAACCCTTCCTACCAACGCCGTCTCGCTGCTTGTCCTCACATGGGTAGGCTTGAACATCTTCTACAACCTCTACCGCATGCCCTTGACCTACTTCTACCTCTTCGTATTTGCCGACCGATGTGGCCTCATCTTCGTCGCAAACCTGCCTTTGCTGTACCTTCTGGCCGCAAAGAATCAGCCCATCAAGTTCTTAACAGGCTATTCCTACGAGAGTCTGAACATCTTCCATCGAAGAGTTGGAGAACTCGTGTGTTTGGAGGCTTTCTTGCACTTTCTGGGTATGATAGCCGTATGGTACGGGTTGTTGAGACACCTGGGTTTCACGCTCGCCAAGTTCCTATTCAACCGCGTGGTTCTTCTAGGCCTTGCTGCCTTCATTGCATACGAGTTGATCTATTTTACGAGTCTAGGCAGTTTCCGCCAAAGATGGTACGAGATATTCCTGGGCCTTCACATAGTGCTCCAAGTCGCCGGGCTGGTGTTCCTTTGGTTCCACCACCATACCTCCAGGCCCTATGTTGGTATTTCCCTCGCCATCTTCCTCATTGATAGACTCGTGTATCGGCTGTGGCTGAAATCGAGCACGCATCCCGCAACTCTTACGGTCCTCGAAGATGACGAAACCTTCCTCGTCTCCGCAAACTGGGAAGTAGCTTCTCGAAAGTCCACACTAGTACCGAAGAATATGAGGCAAGGGTGGAAACCGAATGAGCATATCTTCCTTACTGTACCCGCTTTATCCCGCAAACACGCCATACAATCTCATCCCTTTACGATATTTTCCGCCGCTCCGGCAACAACAACAAACGATGATTCGCAAGGAAAACACGCATGGTTCACTCTACTTATTCGCGCCCAAGCCGAATCAGGCTTCACCCGTACCCTCCTGGAACATGCTCGCACTACCTCACAAACCCGCATCCGTCTTGACGGTCCCTACGGCTCCTCTCACGCTCTTGATATGCTCGAAACTTCCAATACCACCATTCTTATTGCAGGCGGCTCTGGAATCGCAGTCGCATATCCCCTTCTTCACTCCCTTCTCTGCCCCTCTTCAACCGATCCTGAAACCGCTTCCACCCGCGTCAAGAGGAAAGTCAAGTTACTCTGGATTACTCATGCGCCCGACCACCGCCTATGGATCCCAGACAGCAAACTCGAGGAACTTGAAAACTGGGGCCTGGACGTGCTCATTCCGCCCCCGACTAGTACGGCTGGACGACCAAACGTCAGATACATTCTGAGGGAGTGGGTGGAGCAGGAAACAAGAAAAGGGGGAAGAACGGGTGTTGTGGTTAGTGGGCCTGATGGCTTGGTCAGGGATGTAAGGAATACATGTGCAAAGATGATATACAATGGTAGAGATGTAGATGTTCAGGTTGAGAAGTTTGGGTGGTGATATATGCGGCGTTTTCTTTGATGAGTCTTTTGAACATATACAGGATATACTTATATGTTTCTCTTGTCGAGACTGAATTTGAATAAAGCGGCAACGCTGCGCTTCCTTCTTCTGTCTTGGATTACCGCGTCTTTATATACGTGGCTCGCGTGTACATGCTATTTTGCAGCAGTCAATTCAACTCAAATTTTGGTATAAACATCACCACGGTAATCATGGATTAAAACCCTGGTATCGACACCTACTCCCCACATGAACTAGTGAAATAGAGACGGCGGTGATCCGAAATTGTGTTTCCTACTTCCCTTTCTACGTTCCCCTTTGTAGTGTTGTATCTATGGCAGTTGAGTGCCGGAGAGCGAAAATCCATAACTTAATGCTACTGTCAGTAGTATGCGATCAATCGGCTACTTGTTCTCAAACGATTTCGTATCGCTTGTTCATGAACACAAGTACGTCAATTCGCACCCCAAAGCTGAAGTGAGTGGAAATGCTACACACTGCTTTACATGGCATCCGGGCCCGTACTCTGTGCTAATTACAAAGCGAAATGTACGGTAAGCAATCCTCGAACTTTCAGTGTCAAATACAAACCAAGGACAACAACATTTTACTGTACAGTGTGTGCAGAACACGATAAGAAATAAACACTTTGATCGAAGTTGGGGTTGATGTAGTACCTTGGTCACATCGATAGTCATACTCCAGTACCTGTGGCAATATCGTGGTGATTTCTAGAAGTTATCAAACAGAAATACTTCGATCTCGAACACACAAGATCGCCCCTCACACGTACGCTGAACATTTCCGAATACCCGTTCTAGATTAGGTTCATCGATATACGCGCAACGGGACTGTCAGTGAACGTCGCCCGTATATCTCTAACTTGCATGCCGATTAAATCTCTCAAATACCAATAAGTTGGGGCGGCTTGGTTGCTATGATCACCTTTTTTTACTAAAATCTCCGATAGTTCTGAAGATGTGCTTGGTTTCCCTATGTGACGCAGAGAAGTGGAACATAACTATCTGCGTGCTTTCATAAAGCTTCTGAAGAGATATGTGCAATACAATCTGCGTAAGGAACTTGCCTTTGATCTCTTAGTTAAATAGAATGGTACTAGCTATATTGTACTGAACTTTTGGATATATCACATTGCCATCCGGAAAGAAGCATTAGAGAGAATTTTAGGAGGAGTTGTAGGCACTGTGAGAGTATCTAGAAAATACTGAATTCATTAATCTCATTTGTCTCCATCTTAGGGATCCGATACCTTTGGTAACCCCTCTTATGAGTGAGTCCAGAATCTCATAGAAGTAAGGGTTTTCTAACGGACCCCAAGTCAGAAGAATGAAAAGAGAAGGCAAACTATGACATTCGCCATAGACACCGACCAATTCATGCTGTGATGGCTATGTTTACTAGATTCTTGCAGCTAGCTTCCATCTTCATTTCCAATTACACATCTATGTCTATATTCACGACAGTAGATAATTCCCGGGCTATTTCTCCCCAACAAATATCTGTAATGCAGATATCGTGAAATCCAGTACCAGATGGTCACAAATCACTTTTCAAGATTACATTCGGTGGAATGCAGGCAATCAGCACACTTGCAAGGTGAAAAATGATCTACATGCAAAGCTTTTCCTACAGTCGGTCCAGTGGGAACTCCCAGTCAATAATCAGACATGCAATGCTGCCGTGTTCGTTTCTGTGGGCACCTAACAAGCACGAATCTGACTTCTCATTGAACATGCTAAGAGGTGACTAGGATATACTCAATATACTGTCGGTGGCGAGAGGAGTGCATACACAAATGCAAGTCACGATTTTCTGTTAACTTTTCAACTGTCAGAAACGCTATCTACATCCAGCTCCCCGCAAACTGAGCTCTTACAGCGAGGTCATTCTCGATTGATTTTATGTATTGGTTTAATTGAGGTGAATATGTAGAGAACAAAACGGAGGCACTAGAGAATGTCAACGTGTGATTGTGATTGTGATAGTGATAGTGGCTGAAAGCTCGCTAGAGACAAAAGTCAACTCTGCAACGAGTAATCCTCATCACAAAGACTTGCGTGAAACCTCTCCATTCGCATCATGTATTCAAGAACAGAGTCAAGCACATAGTCACATTCTACTCCTCCACCATTCCTCCCTCTGTACCCCCCACTAACCATCCCACTATCATTCGTGACCTACCCTCATACACCTCCACCCCACGCTACTCGCTACTCCCCCCCCCACAAAGATCCTGCACCTACATCAACAGCGCTACTAACCGTTCAAACGGCCACAAGCACGAACGAACAAAAAAGCACATCTACCCAACGTCCTCACGCACGCACCCGCACCCCCCAACGCACGCACATACAACCGCACATACGCGACGCACACTCCCCCCCGCGGGAACCCCCAAAAAAGAAACCCTTCCCCCCAAACCAAGTTCGCAGATGCGGATAGACCATGCAATTTACCGATTTGTCGCATATTATGCTCACGTCTCGGTTTCTTTTAACCTGCGTGTCCCCGTATGCGTTCGCGCGTGTGCGTGTGCGTGTGCATGTGCATGTATGTGCGTTTGCCTTGTTGCCTGTGCCCCCCCCTCTTCCCCCCGTTCCGAAGATGGGTGTGCGGTGCGTGCATTTAATGCGGGTTAATTTCCCTGTATATTCTTGTCCGCTTCACACACACACACCCATGCAGGCTATCATCCCCTCCTTTCTATTGTGTATGGGAAAGGAGGGAGGGAGAGCACTGCGGTATGATTCACAAGGCATGGTTGATAATAATAATAGGTATGGATGGGGTGATCTTGTTGTAGTACTTGGTTACGTTATTGAACGCTGGAGATGAAGCCAAGGAATTGGCACCATGACATAGTATTACTTGAGGCAATTGAATGAGTTGCGTGTGCGCAATAATCCTAGCAAAGGGGGAAGACAAAGAAAGAGAGGGTACGCAATGTGATTTGCAAATTTCGGATGGCTATTTTGGCATGTGTGGTGCAATCGCAGATTATTCCCAGTACGGATTTTCGCTGGGGTTGAAGAACCTGAAACAAGACCCATCGTCATGGCCCACGGTAGGCTGTCGTGTTTATCAAGCCACATTCACGGGATTTCCAGGTAGTGTTTGATTCATGATGTTACCGCGTACCTGTTGTCGGGGAAGCATAAGATGTCCCCCATGTCCATAGCTAAAACACGGAGCTTGAAACCGATAAGCGAAAGCGAGTTTTGTCGATCGCAATGGCCATCTTCCCGTCTCCCATTCCCAACAAGTGGCGCGGGAAGGAAATGTTCCTTGTTGCAGGACCTGATCCATGCTCCCGTTCAAACAAAAACTTGAAACATTCGGCCTGCCCCAACATGGCCCATGCGCCCAGGTTACCCAGGCCGTCTTTCTGAAAGCATGTACCTGTAAGCTGGCGGGCCCACTACAGGTACAGACTGGCACAATTGCAGATGTCCCTGTTTCAGAAACTGCCGTCAGCAAACAAATACCGCGATCATTCAGTACCCTTACCGTGGAACACGGGACGAGATTCCGGAAACGAAATAGGTGGACATACCGTTTGATAAGTTCCTGGCATGTTCCCATCTTTTGGAAGAGCGTCGGATCTCCGATAATCCGAGCTGCGTTCTTGACTTCACGGCATGTCTCATCCAGACGAGTAATGACGCGGACGATTGTACCCTCCATGACGTCTGTCAAGTCAGTTATCCTGTTGAATGACATACCGCGTGCCCACTCGTAGACGACCTCGACCATTCCAAAGCGGGGCTTGCTGACGAAGTCGTTCGAGTCATCCGCCGACAAGATGACCTGATGTTTAGTCTGAATCTCGTTGACCTTTTCTGAAATTTGGACAATTTTGGCCACGCCACGTTCCAGGCTCGCTGTCAGAGTGGGCTCCACATCGGTCTTTTCCTGAAAGACAAACGCCGAGAGCAGTGCGACGATCTCCTCGGGCTCATACTCGGCGAGTACGTTTTCCAAAACGAGTTCGGTAAGGACCAGCTCGTCTGCCGAGTGGATCTAGATGCTGTAAGGACATGACTCGAAAGTAATGGAACAGATGAGGGGCATACCTCGCAGGCTACCTTGCCTTTTAGCTCTACGTGCGAGCCTTCGTCAACAAAGCCAAGATCTTTGAGGACTTGGATACGCTGTTCGTAATCGGGAAGGAGCTGGAGATTCTGGTCTGACATGAGTTGTCGGAGTGCATGGATGTTTTCCTTGATGAGCCACTGATCGTGTTCCATGGCAAACTGCAGCGATTAGCGTCATGCATACATATGCGGCTGCTCAGTTCGCATTCCTTACATGTTTTAGGAAGTTGGGACACCTCAAACACTCTTTGCTAACCGCATTCAGTCCCTCCTTCTTGCGAGCCTCTTCCAGTTCTCGGAACTTGAGGCTATTGATGCGGCTGTAATCGTATTCATCCCAGTCCTCATAGTCCCATGACCCGCATAGCGGCAAGAATTGGTCTTGGGCCAGCTTTAGCGTATCTGAGGTATTTTTAGCGTCGTATAGCGGCCTTAGAGCGGGCGCTTACCTTTCTTTCGGTTGAGATTTTGGACAGAGTCAGGGACATCAATGGTAGTCTTTGTAAAACACTCGATATCGTTCAAGGGTACAAACGCAGTCTTGAGAATCAGATCCCCCGGCTTGTTCGGCATTTTTCGATACAGATGTGCGAACGGACCGAGATATGGTAGTAGGTCGTCAGGCTTACGATCTTGGTGTTGGGCTACCTCTAAAACCTTCACCGTAGGTTCATTACCTCTGCTCGTACCATCCTGCATGAGCATGCCTGCTGTGCGTTTATTATCCTAGCAGCAACATGTTAGACTGATCTTGAGTGTTGGAGTAGTCAGGGTACCTTTTTGTAAACAATCAGACGATTCTTGCTAAATACTCGTCGCCCAACAGGGTTAATGAGAAGGCTCAGATGCATCTCGTTGGTTAGTCTCTTGTAGTCCTCACAGGACTGGTGACAGGCTTCTAGGTCGATATCGCAAATGTCGCAAGGTTCACGTTTGATCTTCTCCAATTCGGCTTCTGAGAGTTTGACCTTGCCTTGGTGCTCTGGCAATAGAGCCTGGGTCGCATTCTCGCTGAAACTACGTTTGATCATCTCTTCAATTTTCAGTGCTTCGACACGCAGAAGATTCAACATCATGTTGTATGTGAGACGGAATTGTGACCTAAGCTTGGTGGGTTCTCCAAGCATCATCTGTCGAAGCCTTGCTGCTGGTGGTGCCTCGTCGGCGCCAGGCGCGCAGATGATGACAGTGCCAACTGTGTCGAGACCTCGACGTCCTGCACGACCGGCCATCTGTGTGTATTCACCAGGAAGTAGGTCGCGGAACTCTCGACCATCGTGCTTCCGGAATCCAGAAAAGACGACTGTTCTGGTAGGGAGGTTAAGGCCCATGGCAAAAGTCTCAGTTGCAAAGAGGACCTTGACGAGCGTTTTGGCGAAGAGTATCTCTACGACCTCTTTGACAATAGGTAACATGCCACCGTGATGGACCGCAATACCTCGACCAAGTAACTCTCTCAAACGTTTGATCTGTGGAAGCTCACGGTCTTCGCGGCTTAACCTAGCCAGTGACTTTTCGATGGTCATATGAATAGCACTCTTTTCTGCAGCGGTGCAGTAATCAATGTTCGAGAGTGCTTCTGCATTTTCTTCGCAACGCTTCTTCGAGAACACGAATATACAGGCTGGTAACAGATCTTTGGTACGCAGATGTTGAATGAGATGCACCCATATGTTACGATCCTGTGCAGCAGTGGTGCGGCCTCCGCCACGGCCTGTCCTTGCAATGTTTCCACGGCCTCTGGCTGCTGGTGGGCCCCCGCCGCGGGGAGCTCCGCCCCGACTGCCTCCTTGTTGTCCTCTTCCCCTTTGGTTCTGACCTCCTCTAGCAGATGAGCCTCCACGGCCACCACCTCTGCCAGCCTGTGAGTCGTTTGTGGCTGGTGCCTTTATTTTGTCTTTTCCAGAAAGAATATCGTTTGCGTCTTTCCAACCGCTGTCGATGAACTTCTTGTCTGCTGTGACAATCTTGTGCATGCCTTTTCCAGCCCAAAGATAGTGCTCTAGGGGAATGGGACGCTTGGGCGTGGATATAACATAAATGTCTTTCTTTTTCGTGCGACCCACCCAAGAAGCAAATTCATAGGTATTTGGAACAGTAGCAGACAAGAGAATGAGTGTCACATGCTCAGGAAGCATGATAATGACCTCTTCCCATACCACACCACGTTCCAGGTCGTTGACGTAGTGCACCTCGTCGAAGATGACAAACTCGACGTCTCTGATCAGGTCAGCGCCACGGTACAACATGCTTCGAAGAATCTCCGTAGTCATGATGAGACAGCTAGCTTCTGGCCTGATCTGCACATCTCCAGTCAGGATGCCAACATCATCAAATGTCTGACGGAAATCGCGGAACTTTTGGTTGCTAAGAGCCTTGATTGGGGAAGTGTAAATGGCTTTGGTCATATGCTTGGCAGCAAGTGCAATTGCATATTCTGCAACGACAGTCTTGCCTGCGGAGGTATGTGCAGCTACGAAGACTGAATCCCCATTCTCGAGATGATAGACTGCCTCTTTCTGGAAGGTATCCAGCTCGAAGGGATATTCACGTGCCATTTCAGGTACAAGTTCCCGGAAATTGGTGATGTCGCGGTTGATGTCAACCATGTGGGCCCACTCTCTTCCACCTTTTCTCGCAGTACCCATAGCAAGGGGACCATGAGGAGCTAGAGCAGGAAACTCTACCGGCAAGAGAGCATCGATTTCTTCTTCTCCCGGGTCTTGGCCATCCTCAGGCACATCAAGTCCGTTCGCACCGACGTTGTCAGTGTCAGCCTCTTCGTCAGCCTTGGTTTCAGCTGCAGGAGCAGATGCCTGTCCCAAAGTGTCTTCCACCTCCTGAGCGACGTTCGAATCTGTAGCGGGCTTCTTCTGCAGGTCCAGGCCGCGTGTGAACCCAGGTGGAATCTCCAGCAGACCACCTTCAGCGCTAAAATTGATCACCCGGTCGAGACCTCCGGTTTTCTTTCCTTGAGAATTTTCTTGCTGTTGAATGGCCTCGTCCTCAATTGCGGCGATTGCTTCCACGCCTTCTAAACCACCGGGTGCGAAAGGAAAAAATCCAGCGGCACCACGGACGAATTCGGCTCTACTAGCGGGTTTTCTAAGGAGGGATGTAGAGTTTTTAGCGGTTGCAGAGTTTGCAGGCACAGTGACCTCCTTGTATCCAGTGACTCTGCCTTCCAGGCCTTCTCGAGTGAAGCGGATAATGGTGCGGGTTTGTGTCGGGGCGATCTGAAACAGACTGCGGCAGTTTGTAGGAGCATCCCAGCGCTGCTGGAATCGGTTAAGCCACTGCGTATTGAAAGACCGGGAGGGCGTCAGGAACTCTTGCTCGAGCTCCTTTTTGATGGCCTCTTTGGTTTTCCGCTGGCGTTTGGGTGCCTGCTGTTTGCCGGCTAATGAGTCTATCCAGCCTTCATCTTCATTGAGCTTACTGCTATTCAGCCGCAGTTCCTCCAGTTGCCCAGACAAAGCCTCCATGTTCACGGGTTGCGAGTGAACGTGGTTGGGAGCCCTGTGGCTAATGGTGCGCTTGAGAAAATAGATGACGTTGCTGGACACGCCAAGCCTCACGCGGAATGAGGCGCTGCGGGGCGCACCCTAATCACGATGCAGCACCCGTAAGGAGAAAAAATGATTCTATCACCAACCATGTTTGGTAGAAGCAGTATGAGGAATGTATTATTTCTAAAGATATCTCAATCGTACTGAGTTTGTTTTTCACTATTGTCAATTGCCCCTTTTTCCCTCTAATCGCCACAGTTACCTTCTTCCCCTTACTTTCGTTGGGTACCGTACCATGAGACTATCTTGGTTCTTGTTTGGTTCAAGGGTGAATACAAAAACCGGCCTCGCTTTCGGAAACCAGTTTTTCCAATGTTTGAGCTGAATCCCGAGGCAATTATACAGTTGCCGCTGGGGACTGTGCTCGATCATACACGCCGAAACTCTATTCCTGTTGGCGCCGGTGCTGACAACTTGACACAAATGATGTCGTCCGTATGCGGCCCAATCGTAACTCGTGGACATTCGTCAAACGCCTCGTTATGCAATTACATCATGAAAGTGCGTTACATCTGCTCAATTCCACATGCCGTCCATGTCCGCCATGGCTTCCATCTCGTCTGCGAAAGGATCATCCTGAGCGGGCATGGGCCGTGTAGGGAGCGTCTTTGTGAGCGTGGTGGCGGGCTGTTCGCTTTCTGCTAGCAGAGCGTCCAGTTCGTCTTCATCAGGTTCTTCGCCTGCCGTGTGCTCTGTCGTATCTAACACCGGCGCTTGCACGCTACTTTGGTGTTCGAGACCATTGCCAGTGCTGATTCGGACTCCGTCCATACCCTCTGTAGTTTGTTGGACAGTCGTTTCTTCTGCAGCCCTATCCTCTTCGTCGCTGTCTCGGTCCGCAGCACGCCGTGGCTTTCCTTCATCAATCCAGTCTTTACGCATAACCTGCATGCGTTTTGTATGTCCGACTTTCTCGATAATGGCGAGGGCATCTGCAAACTTGGCGCGGGGGTACAGGTCGTCGAGCCAAAGTTGATACATGTTTAACATGCGTGCAATATCCCCATACTGTGCCTTAGTCAGAGCCGTGAAGTGTGGATGCATGCTCTCTGACACATACCTCATGTCCCTTGCCCTTGAAACGCAGACGGTCTTTTGAAATTCTGCGCAGACGCGGAATCCCATGGTCCGACAGGAGTCGCTGGTCGTCAAGTTTTGGTGCAGGCTGACGTTTCTTGGTTATGACAATGTCCTCGTCGACGCCCAAGCCGGTATCGACACCCTGGCTCTTATTCTTCTTCCATGGCTCTGGCTGGGTGGGGGGTTCGGTGGATTCAACTATATTGCCAGGCTCTATAATATCCTTGAGTATATCGTCCAGATCATCATCAAAGTCTTCATTTTGTGCTGATGGGCTCGCTGGAGCCATTGTGTGATTTGTGGATTGTGGCCGTCCGTGTATGGAGAGTAAGCGTAGTGTACGTACGTAGTGTGTGGATGCGATCGGACGCGACGCGGCGGACGCGTTCAGCCACGAGCACGGATCCCTGTCGCTAAGCTTACTTGTGGCGCAACTTTATCGAGCCATTCAGAACCCAAATGTAGCTTCACTCTCTCTCTCTTTGACCAGAACTTGACATTCGGACATAACTTCTCCGCTGTCTCACAGTCGCCACTGTAGCACCATTGCCAAGCTCGCCCCTATTTTCTTGTTCTCCAGCGGCACAGGAACGTCTGCGCTACTGCCTATCCCAGTCCGTGGTTGAAGCCTGGACGCGACGGGTATTCTCGCTCAATGGCCGTGCCTGGTCTTCTTCCCGCAGATGCGGTAGCACCTAGACTTGACTTTCTATTGCGCCGCGCACGTGAGGTCAAGCGGGTTGCCTCCATTGACCCCCCACTGCAGGTGTCTGAGCTTGTACCGGAAGGCGAGCCTCTTCTGGGTGAAATCGAGGGTGGAAAGGAAGTGCGCACTCTTGCGGTTGAGAGTGCAGCAAAGAGTGTCTTCTATGCCAATCTTGTCAGCCGCCATGATATTGTTATTGCCTCCCTGCGATACTTGCTTACATGTCCAGGGATCCACTCAAATTGAGGCACCGGAGTTTGTTACCATTTGGAACCTCCTCGATATTTTGCAATACTGCGGAGACCGAGGTACCTCCTATGTCCATCTTACGTCCCCGCCGGCGTATATCTAACAAAGCACACAGACTTGTGTTCTCCGCAGCTTGTCCTACTGCTCACCGAGGAACTTCTTGATAGCCAATCCATTTCAGGATGCCGGGTTGTGTTCAACTTTCTGGAGTCGAGGAGGGAAGCCATCATTGCAGTAGGTCAGATGCTTTGATCTTGGTTGTCTCACTCACAAGCTTCCAGATCAACTCCAAGAACAAGGATCTTGTCATTTTGCGGCTATGCAACGAGCTTCTTCGACGCTTGTCTCGCGCCGAGGACCCGGTGTTTTGCGGGCGCGTCTATATTTTCATGTTTCAGAGCTTTCCCTTGGGCGATAAAAGCTCGGTGAATTTGCGGGGCAATTTCCACGTCGAGAACATTACCACATTTGAGGATTTTCTGAAGGATTCACAGCCACAGGATGAGGCTATGCAAGTTGATGGCGATAGTTCTGTGCCTAAAATCAGAGAAGAGCCCGAGTCAGAGGAGAGGACAGCACAGACTGGTGATATTGACGAAGCAAAAGATGGGAAACCCAAGACTCTGGATGTCGACACTCTGTACCCGGTATTCTGGTCCTTACAACATTCCTTCTCGAATCCACCAAGATTGTTCGAAGAGGATCATTTCAAACAGTTTCAGCAGGGTTTAGAGGCAACGCTAGCAAAATTCAAAGAGGTCCCCAAAGTGATCCAAGCGGGGGATTCTGAGCGCAAGAAGGGACAGGTATCGAAGGATGAAGGGGAAGATTACGACGCATTTGCCAGCAGCTTCAACCCAAAATACCTCACAAGCCGTGACCTGTTCAGACTCGAGGTAAGTACTTGGTGGCACTGCCACAGTGGATCCTGCGCTATGACTGCCTAAATAACTAACTGATGATTGCCAGCTGAGCGACCTTGCCTTCCAACGGCACATCCTGGTCCAAGCACTGATTCTAATCGACTTTCTCCTGACCCTGACAGAGAAGTCCAAGAGCAAGCCGTTCTATCAGAATGCCCAGAAGGCGATGCAGTACAATTTCACGCTTGGGGCGGAGCAGGTAAGTCGCCACTCAAGTGGATCTGTCCTGAGCATAGTCACGCATGCATACTCGTTTCTGCGTCGATGATGATCCTTCACCCGGCTGACCACAGAGCACAGACCGAGTGGGCATTGGGCATCAAGAACGCTATTGCAAATTACCTGCAGGAGGGGCCGGATGGCAAGTTCTACTACCGGATGGTGGATACGGTGCTCTCACGAGACAAGAATTGGGTAAGGTGGAAAATGGAGAACTGTCAGCCATTCACCCGAGATCGAGTCCCCACAACGGACTTGCAGCAGGCCAAGACTGGGGCACAGAAGGCGGTAGTGAGCAAGAAGGCAGCTCGGCCTATGGGAGTGCCCAGTATGTTTGACTTTCTGTATAACAATGAGGCAGAAAAGGGGCTCTCGCAGCTGCGGCAGAGCGATAGGTACGTGCTCCGTTGGCCCGACTGACAGTAGTGGATAATGGCAAGCAAGCTCACGCCCGGGACCAGGTTCAAGGTGCCAGACGCAGAGTGGTATGGCAAACGGGTGCAAATGAAGGATCTGGACATGGACATGGCTGATGGAGACGAGGAAAAGCGGCAATTGGAAGAGAGCAAGGCGAGTGACGTGTGGCGAGGGCTCCGGGTGGCGTCGAAGAGTCAACTCAGCATGTTTGACAGAGTTGAGCATGGCAAAGGGCTCGAGGCTCTTCAGCCGGCCACCAGCTCAGCGAGTGAAGCCACGGGCCCTGAGGTTGCAACCACTGGTTCGGATGAGCAGGGGTCAGTTCCGCAGAACGAACATCAGAGCGTCGAGGAGCAGCGGGCCGGCCACCACAGTCAAGTGACTGGGGATTCGGCAGTGTAGTACTAGCGGCAGGGGCAGAGAAGCCGGCGTGGACGAGTTAGGGCTATGGAATTATCGATGGCCTCGAGACGGCCATGGCGCTTTTCCTCTTGTGTCTGCATGCAGTATGGGGAGCATTGCGGCGCTTTCTCTGTGGAATCATGGATCAATGGGACCTGCAAGCGAAGAAAGGAAAAAGGCACATGGGCCAGGGTAAGGATGTAAGGGTAGGGGAGGGGGGTTGAATTGATGAGGGGAGGGGGGCCTTTGGTGTGTCTGTGGTCTTTTTATTTTTTTTCTTCCGGAGCTACTCTCAGCGTATCGATAGATCGGAGAGAGAGGGGGATTGCAGCTGTCTGTGAGCAACTGACTTCTGAACCTTGTCGCCGGCAAACGGCTTTTTTTTGCCCCTCAGCGAAGCAAAGCAAGCGGCCACGATTGGCAAAGTGCCAAAAGGGTTGATTGGGGCTGCAGAGCCGGGCGGTGGAGATGAAAGGGACGGGGTTTGATGAATCAGAGGGTACAACAATCTATCCAGGCGCGTGGCAAATGTGCACCCGTCCCGGCGACGGTCCTGACGTAACGACGGGCTGGATCCCAGGCAAAGGGAGAAGGAAAAAAAGGGCTGGGTCTGGTTTGTGCCCTTGTCATCAAGGCACGTTTGCGTGCGTGTGAATGGAACGAGTAGGAAGAAATGAGGTCAAGAACAGACTTGCCGTTGCGTGCCGGGGTGGGGCCATTTGTTCAGTTCAGGCTCATTGACAGAAACAGTAGTGTGTGGGCGGGTATGTTAATGATGCGTGAGTGGGAGGAGTGGGTTGAGTGCGGAAATGTCGAGTGAGAGTGTGTGTTGTCAGCGCGGAAATCCACCTACGGTGCATCGTTCCGAAATGAAGGGACCTGTACTACCTGACACTACCGCTCAGCGGCCGTGTGTGGTGTGTGGGGGGTGCGTGCTGCGTGCTGCGTGTGTGGGAAGGAACAGCGTTTCCAAGGCTGAATGCAGCTTCTGCCGTGACACACACACACGAATCCGCACACGCCAAATCCGTGACAAGTTTGCAAACGACGGCCGATAAAGAAAAACCAAAACTTATGGACCCGGGGGATTATTCAAACATGAACTGATAGCGAGTTTTGTGCGGTGCAATGCATTACTGATGACATATGATGGGCGGAACAACTGGACTCACACACGCAAGAAGAAAGTCGTGGGCCCCAAGCATGATGAAAGCGAGGGGGGGGCGGACGGGCATGTGGTGCCGATAAGTCCCCAGGTACCCATGCGCTCATCAAACCTACATAGTCTTCTACAGCCAGCCAGCCCCAAGAAGGCAAATTGGGGTGAGGCCGGCGGAAAAAAAAAGTTGCGGTTTGGCTATGGGCGAGCGATCCTGTCATTTCGAAACCCGCACTCATCCGCCAACCCCCAGGGCCGCCTTTCTTGGCAGTGTTTTGGGAACCTGGGACTGGTGACGCCGCAACGCCGTCCGCCGTGCTTTGTTCGGCACTGTATTGTGAGATATTTTGGGGCCTTTTTCTGGCCGCATCTGTGGGCGTTTGGGGCTATTGCGTATGCCCTGGGTTTCTTTTTTTGATGTTCTTGATCCTGCTACACACATACACGCACGTACACAGAATGAACACAAAGGGTGTTTTGGACGGGTGCGAAACATGCAAAACGACCCAAACACTGGTGGTTAGTTAGGGTGCTTCAACGAGAAAAAGAAACAAGTGCACGGCAACGAGGCCGTGTCTCGGGGCGCGACGGAGCGAGTCGTGGTGTGATTCGTTGTGCGTGTGGAAGTAAAGGCGTTTGTCTCTGTGGGCTGTATGCGAGAGAAGAAAAGACACAGGCAGATGAAGAAAGAGAAGGTGTGGGTGGGTGGGCGATGGCAGCAGGCGCCGCATCGGCTAGACGTTCATCTGCTTTGAACACGGACGGTGTGTCGATCACGACGGAACGGCGCAAGACATGGGTGGCTTGCGCATCGCGCGTTTTTCCCTGCAGAGAGGGCGGAACTGCGTAAGTGAGTACAGGTCGTGGCAGCCTCGCCCTCGTAGATACTGCGACGGTCGTGTTTCACGGTAGGCTGGTGGCCAGGCCGGACGCTTGACAGGCGACGATAATTTGGCCGCTGTCACCAGAAGTACCGACAGCTTACCAGCGTTACACGCGTCGCACTACAGCGAGAACCGGCTTCGAGAACCAGGCGGCTTTTTTCTTGCTTGCTTCTTCTCGTCCACCATTTTTCCCGGCGCGGGCCGAGCTTTTGGCCGTTAGATCGCTGGAGAGGTCAGCCAGATCGTTTTTCCGCTGCTCGTCCACGTACTCAATGGGTACAAGTCACAGCCAACTGGGGGGAGGGGGGGCTGGGGGGTCCAACTCTTGGGTGCAAGGCCGCGGGGCGCTTGAGTGCTTGTGGCGGTGGTAGCGGTGGTGCTGGGCTGCTACTAGAGTGCTAATGCTCGTGTACATGTGTATGCAAGCAGAAACACACATGGGGGCCTAGCACCCTACAAGCGCCGGCTTCGACGCATGCCATGATGGGCTGACGGCTGAAAACGACGACGCTTTGTTGTTTATGCAGCGCTGCATCTGGCCTCGGTGCGCGCAACAGGCGGCTCCCTCCCATTGCACGCCAGAGACGGTGGGCGGGCAAGGCTGATGCACCGCGTTCCTGACGCATACGCAATTTGCGGACCGTGGCACACTTGACAGCTGCCAGAAGCCTCCCCTCTGCCAAAGCCACCAAGCCCTTTTGCAACCGATGCCCAGCCAACGGGGGGTCATGACATGACGACGGTGGTTCTACATGCGTAGCAGCTTGGTGTTGGGATGGTGTGGTGGTGTGGTGTGGTGTGGTGTGTGAGAGTGAGAGCGTATGTATGCGTATGTGTGTGTGTGCCTGAGTGAGAGAGAGCGAAAAGGCAAGAGCGGACAGAGGCACACCCACACACAATTCTAGCACCACCATCACCACCACCACCATCAGGTCCGACTACTTCCCACAGTGACCGCTAAGACTGCTGTTACCGCTCTACCGCTCTACCGCTACCGCTCTACCGCTGTCCAACGAACCCTGGCCGTACCGCTACCACCCTCGGCCCACCACCACTAGACCAAGTACCATGACCATGCCCGATGCCCGCTACCACCACCACCACTACCGTCACCATCACCACCACCACTAACCACCACCTAGTCCCCTCACCACCCGCACTAGGCGGCATTGACAGCAACACCCCGCAACAAGCCGTGCAAGCGTTGCCGAGCCCTGTCGCATCCCTGCCACCTCTTACGGCGGGTTCCTTGGAGCTCCCGCATCGCATTTGGCCAATAATGGCGCCGCCACCTGCCTCGACCATCAACCGCTTGACGCCACGCATCCCTCCTTGCTCGTCGGCCATTTTTCTACACGGACCATGGTCTATGCATGAGAGCATGCAGCCCACCATGTTCACGCACCGCTCGCGCTCCCCTTCTCGAGCGAGGGTAGGCCCCCCCGGCCGCATGCACACCTGATCCAGAGCCCTTCGATTCGCTCGTTCCCGCCCCGTCTCTCCTGCGTAGTAGGCCCACGTCCCGACCTACCGCATCCCTGTGCCCCGGTGCTCTTGGGGTCTGCTAGGCCCTCGACGTTAGTCACGCTTCTCGTCGTGTAACAAGCTGCTTCCAGGTCCTCGTAGGATATCTTGTTTCCCTAAGAAGGACCACTGTCCATGCATGCCATCACCCCGGTCTTCACTATTCCCTTATCCCTCGATTTTATCCGGATCGTCGACATTAGGGCCCCGTCAAGCCTTTCTGCTCTGGAATGATCTGATCCCCTCCCTGCTGCTATCGCTGATATAGCCTCGCCTGTTCCTGACTCTCTTTACAAAGCCCTCTACCTCATCATCGTTGACAGCGGGACCACGCCTTCACTCCTACTAGAGTATCCCCTCCCCCCCTTCCCCGCTTCATTATCATCTTGCCCAATCTTGCAACACCCCATCACCATCATCACCATCAACTACTACGTTCGGCCTCCATCTTTGTCTGGCCCCATCGTTGTTGGTACCTGTTGCTGCTGTGCACCCCCTTCGACGTTGCGACGCACCAGCATACAGTCTGGGCTCGGATAAACACCACCGCCATAACGGTCTGGAACTTGTCAACCTGCATCCCTGAAGCCTTCTCTCCGCTGGATCGGCAAACGTCCTTGCGACAACTCTTCACCACCTTCTCGCCGATCACCCGTACTCGACCCCGCACGAGGACCGGGTACTGATCGACTGCCACTGTTCAAGACCACCTGGAAAACTACGAGTATCCAGGTAAGCAGTGGCATCCTGGGTAGTCTCCTACTCACCAGCTAACGACTCCCCAACAGGCGTCTTAGCTGCATAGCTCACTCCACCTGTAAAAATCCACAACACCTGTTCCAGAAGCCCCAATGGTTGACGGAAACTTTCTCATCCCTTTGTCTCCACCTACCTCGCCTCACATGTCTGCGTACAGCTCGACTGCGGCAGACAACGAGTGGCAATCATCAGAATCCAGGACACTAGAACACACACCACCACACTCTGACAACGACATGGCAATGCTCCACGCAGACGTCTCCGGACACCACTTTGACATGAAGAGGCCATCAATGCGATCACACAAGAGCTTTCCCTATCTGCTCGACAGCAAGAACCACCTCAACAGTGGCACTGACACACCAACTGGCCTCGACGACATTGAGCAGCACGACATCCCAAATGTGACATTTGGCGGCTCTGCTCCCACTAGCCCAATCTCCCGGCTCACTCCCCCTTCAACAAACGACGGCGTGACTGCTGGCAAGGTTGAGGACCAAGACCAAGAAGACGACCTCTTCTCAGACGACAAAGATGACTGTGGTGATGACGAGAGCAAAGACGAGGACCGACCACCAATGTCAGCTGCAGAGATCCGAGCGGCGAAGCGCAAGATGAAGAGGTTCCGCCTTACGCACAACCAGACTCGCTTCCTCATGAGTGAGTTTGCCCGTCAAGCCCACCCAGATGCTGCTCACCGCGAGCGGTTGGCCCGCGAGATTCCCGGTCTTAGCCCTCGTCAAGTCCAAGTCTGGTTCCAGAACAGGTAAGTTGTACAGTGGATGGCCTCGCCCCAATCAAGATGCTAACGTCCTGATAGGCGTGCGAAGCTCAAGCGTCTCACAAGCGACGACCGCGAGCGTATGATGAGGTCTCGCGCACTCCCAGATGACTTCGACATGGCTTCCGCTCTGCACGCTCCCTTTGGCAACTCACACGGCCTTGGTACGCCTCTGGCCTCGCCTGGATCCTACCAACCAAGCTACACCGAGGGAAACATGATGCGGCCACTGAGCATTGACACGTTCCGTCGCGGACCGCTCGACTCTCACATGTCGCCCACGGGCATCACCCCTGCTTTTGGAGGCTTCTCCTTCACACCCCCACAGTCGGCCACAGAGGCAATCTCGCCAGTATCAGCCCACGAAGCATCACCCTTTGGATTTCACTCGGCACCGCTCGAGGCTAGCCCAAGGACATCAAACCCCTTCTCCATGCCCGTCAGCAACCCCCCTGCCTACGCTGCCAACCACAGCATCCCTCGTCTTTCACTACATGCCGACCGCATCTCAAGGAGCCGCGCAGAGTCCCTGCAGTCGCCCCTAAGGACCAGCATGAGCTACACTAGTGTCGGCGACCACCCCACCACACCTGGCTCACATGGCCACCCAGACAGTGCACGGTCATACCCGACCACTTCGATGCCCTATGGCCTTGGATACTCCTGTAAGTTGTCTTGATAGCTCAAGCATTACAAAGCCTTGTCTAACCCTATACTAGATGCACCGGTGCCGGGCTTCGGCGCTTCCAACGGCCGAATGCGCTCTTTCTCTAACGGCGTTCCCCGCCGCATCGAGCTGAGCAACTTCACACCCCAGCGCAACGGATCCACACCCCAAACGGCCCATTTCCCTTCCTTTTCTAGCTCACCACTTGTCACGCAAAGCTTTGCCATGCCCCAGATGAGTGCACCCCACCACTTGTCGACCTTTCCCAACTCGTACATGCGCAATGATTCTGCCCATAACGACACATACGCTTCGTCCCTTGGAGACGTTATGGAGAACGCTAGCCAGCACAGCGACGATCACCATTCCAACAGTCAATATTAAAAACTCCGACTCTGTTCGTTTAGCCAGGTCTTCTTTCCATGTGGCGTTTGCTTTTTCAGGGTATGGTCATCTCTCTTCAGGGGCAAGGGATATTTTTGCAAAAAAATAGGGTTTGCTATCTGGATTTCTGGGTTGGGAATTCACGACATGATGAATCGTCTTTTCGTTTGTTCCTGTCTTCTTCATTCGGTTGTTCGTATTTTTAACCCCCTTTTGTCTGTTTCCTTGTTGTTACAGCGAAATATCCGTCGAGCTTTCTTGTTTTCTTCTTTCTTTTTCATCGTTCGGATATCTTGGGAGGGGGAAGGAGCCTGGCTTGTCGACTTTTCTCTTGTTCATTATATACTTATCTTTTGTCTTTAGTCCGGGTGGATTAACTTTATAAAGGATTCGGATTATATCGGTACATTAACTTTTATTCTGTGTATATTCTTTTATTTCAAAACAATAAACATTCTTGCATCAACATCATCACATCAACTGTTCTGCCTTCACCTCTGTGCCTGTCTGTGTGTGTGTCTCTCCCTCTCTCTCTCTGTCTGCCTTAGCCTCCTGCTTGGCTTTTTTCTGCGGCTGCCCCTGCCAAACCTGCTAAAACGCCCACTAAGCCCTGCTGCTACCTTCCCACCACAGCCAAGTCTCCGCCCTCATCGCCAATCCCACAAAAAATATATAGATAAATTAAATGAAAACATGACGAATTACCAGCCTCAACAAATCCCAATAATCCCTCCGATAATCTTTCTTTCGTTCGAGAACAAACAAAAAAACTCCGTTACCCAAGACCAAGACCAAAAAAAAAGACAAGGACAAGGACAAGGCGTATTTAAGAAGAAAGACTAGGGGGGGGGGTTTGTATCGCCGAAACAAGGATTTTTTTTCTTTCTTTCATGCTACTGCTACTGCTGTTGCGGCGGCGGCGGCGGTGATGGTGATGGTGGCGGCTAAGATGGATAAAGTAACTCATGTAGTTACTTAGGACATGGACATAGACATGGACATATACACACGAACATTGTTCCTTGGGGGAAAAAAAAGAGGATGGACACACATGCTTGTTTAGGCTCTCTTTTTTCGGTGCCGAAAAAGTAGTAAGGGTCTATAAGGTTATGTTACTATCTGACTCTCTCTCTCTCTCTCTCTTTTTTTTTCTTTAGCTCTTAACTTTTTTGGGAAAAAAAAAGTCTTGGGGGTGGAAGAGGACTTGACTCGGGGAGAGAAGGGGGGGGGGATTAGATGCGTTTGAGGAAAAGGGCATAGGGGTGGATACTGTAATTCTGAGTTGTCGCAATTTATTCACTATTTATTTATTTAATCATTTGTTTCTCGACTTTTCGAAACCTTGGTATAGAGAGTGGGGGGGGAGTGGAGGGTAAAGGAGAACAAGATAGGTGGTATTGTGGATACGTAGGGCTGCTGCTAGTTGTGCACACACATGTCCTATCGGACTATGTTGTGGATGTCCGAATTTAGTGGGTTGGGGGGTCTTGTACACGTGGGATTGATTGAATTGATTGTATGTAGTTGAGATAGGTAGGGTAGTACACTACTACACTTTTTTGCTTTTTTTTGCTTTTGGTATACAATGCGAAAGGTGGATGCTGACTTGACGCTCAGACGTCCCTTGTACCCTTAGAAATCCTTCCCTCCACCCTCACCCCCGCCCGATCTCGATTTTTGTCTATATGATTCATTTCGTGCATGTATGTGTCTCTTGGGAGCTTTAGGCCTTTCCGGAGTTGTTCCCTAGTTCCATGGACGTTTTAAAAAAAATCACGCAACGCACGTACCAATATACACAGACACACTCTCTCTTTTTCTGGGTATGGGAAGGGAGGGGGGTGTGTGCGGTTTCAGTACACAAACCCTCCCACCCAAAATCATGCGATTACCTGTTCTGTCTTTTTTTTTTGGCGGCAGCGCCCGGCTGTTTTCTTTTTCTGATTTCGGCGTACCGGGCGAAAAAGACGACTTGTAACAGGGTGGGTCAAAACGCCGGTCCGGGCGGCGCGTTCGGTGGTTCTTTTTTTGCTTTTGCGTTTGTTTTGGTTTTGGGTGTTATACGCAGCAAGGTACTAACCTACTTACTACTGCTGCTTACTACGTTTGGGGCCTAGAATTGACAACACCCCACGTTTTTTCGCTAAGTTAGTACCAAACTAGTGCAAAAGGGAAAAACTTCGGGCAGAAAATGGGCAGTTGCGGACATGAGTAAGGCATTTGGCCGGTCCT